CAAAAAAAAACATGACAGAAAATGCTCATTTTTTCATACTGCATCATCTGTCATTTTTTTGCAGAGAAAACTTAATTAATTTCCACTCATTTTCAGAGGTCAACAAATCCTTTGGATGGCCGGTGATCCCCAAATTTTATTCCAATTTTATAAAAAAGAGACATCAAGCTTTTCAGTATGAAAATCGACATAAAACTCTCTGATGGATTTTTCACAGCAAAAAACAATGACAGAAGATGCTCATTTTTTCAAACTGCATCATCTGTCTTTTTTTTGCAGAGAAAACTTAATTAAAGAGGTTTAATGTCTATTTTCCCTATAGTTAGCCTATTTCCACTCATTTTCAGAGGTCAACAATTCTCTTGGATGGCTGGTGACCCAAAAATCTTTTTTCAATTTCGTAAAATAGAGACATCAAGCTTTTCAGTATGAAAAATGAGCAACTTTTGTCATTTTTATGCTGTGAAAATTCAATCAAAGAGGTGTTATGTTCCTTTTCCCTATATTTAGCGTTTTTGCACTCGTTTTCAGAGGTCAACAAATCTCTTGGATGGCCTGTGACCCCCAAATCTTATTCCAATTTCGTAAAATATGGACATCAGGCTTTTCAGTAATCTTCTGTTATTTTTTTATTTTTGCAGTGAATATTCAATCAAAGTGGTTTAAGTCCATTTTCCTTATATTTAGCCTTTTTGCACTCATTTTTTGAGATCAAAACAACTCTAGGATGGCCGTTGACCCCCAAATTATATTAAAATATCATAAAATAGAGACATCAAGCTTTTCAGTATGTGAACATGAGCATCTTCTGTCATTTTGTTTGCTATTAAAATTCAATCAAAGAGGTTTTATGTACATTTTCCTTATATTTAGCCTTTTTGCACTCATTTTTAAAGATCACAATATCTCTTGGATGGCTTGTGACCCCCAATTTTTCTTCCAATTTCATAAAATAAAGACATCAAACTTTTCAGTATGAATAAAATGAGTATCATCTGTCTTTTTTTTACAGTGAAAACTTAAGCAAAGAGGTTTTATGTAAATTGTCCCTCTACTAAGCCTTTTTGCACTCATTTTCAGAGTCAACAAATCTCTTGGAAGGCCGTTGACCCCCACATCTTATTCCAATTTCGTAAAATAGAGACATCAAGCTCTTCAGTAATCTTCTGTCATTTTTTGTTTTGCATTGAAAAAGCAATCAAAGTGGTTTTAAGTCCAATTTTCCTATATTTAACCTTTTTGAACTCATTTTCAGAGATCAAAAAATCTCTAGGATGGCCGTTGACCACCAAATTATATTAAAATATCATAAAATAGTGACATCAAGCTTTTCAGTATGAAAAATGAGCAATTTCTGTCATTTTTATGCTGTGAAAATTCAATCAAAGAGGTTGTATGTTCCTTTTCCCTATATTTAGGCTTTTTGCACTCATTTTCAGAGGTCCAAAAATCTCCTGGATGGCCAGTGACCCCCAAATTATATTAAAATTTCATAAAATAAAGACATCAAGCTTTTCATTATGAACAAATGAGCATCTTCTGTCATTTTCATGCTGTGAAAATTCAATCAAAGAGGTTTTATGTTCCTTTTCCTTATATTTAGCCTTTTTGCACTCATTTTCAGAAAATTCTCTTGGATGGGAAGTGACCCCCAAATTTTTTTTCAATTTCGTAAAATGGAGACATCAAGCTGTTCAGTAATCTTCTGTCATTTTTTTTTTTTGCAGTGAAAATTCAATCAAAGTGGTTTTAAGTCCAATTTCCCTATATTTAGCCTTTTTGCACTAATTTCCAAAGGTCAACAAATCTCTTGGATAGCCGGTGACCCCCAAATCTTATTCCAATTTCGTAAAATAGGAATATCAAGCTTTTCAGTAATCTTCTGTCATTTTTTTTTTTGTAGTGAAATTAAATCAAAGTGGTTTTAAGACCATTGTCCCTATATTTTATCCTTTTTGCACTCATTTTGTGAGATCAAAACATCTCTAGGATGGCCATTGACCCCGACATTATATTAAAATATCATAAAATAGAGACATCAAGCTTTTAAGTATGTAAAAATGAGCATCTTCTGTCATTTTTTTTGCTATGAAAATTCAATAAAAGAGGTTTTATGTACATTTTCCTTATATTTAACCTTTTTGCATCAATTTTCAGAGGTAAAAAAATCTCTCGGATGGCCGGTGACCCCAAATTTTATTCCAATTTTATAAAATAGAGACATCAAGCTTGTCAGTATGAAAACATGAGCAACTTCTGTCATTTTTATGCTGTGAAAATTCAATCGAAGAGGTTTAATGTCCATTTTTCAAATATTTAGCCTATTTGTATCAATTTTCAGAGGTCAAACAATCTCTTGGATGGCCGGTGACCCCAATTTTTTTTCCATTTTTATAAAATAGAGACATCAAGCTTTTCAGTATGAAAAAATGAGCAACTTCTGTCATTTTTATGCTGTGAAAATTCAATCAAAGAGGTTTTATGTCCATTTTTCAAATATTCAGCCTATTTGCATCAATTTTCAGAGATCAAAAAATCTCTTGGATGGCCGGTGACCCCAAATTGTATTCTAATTTTATAAAATAGAGACATCAAGCTTTTCAGTATGAAAAAATTAGCATCTTCTGTCATTGTATTTTATGCTGTGGAAATTCCATCAGAGAGGTTTTATGTCGATTTTCATACTGAAATGCTTGATGTCTCTATTTTATAAAATTGGAATAAAATTTGGGGTCACTGGCCATCCAAGAGATTGTTTTACGTCTGAAAATAGTGCAAATAGGCTAAATATTTGGAAAAAAGATCATAAAACCTCTTTGATTGAATTTTCACAGCAACAAAAATGACAGAAGTTGCTCATTTTTCATACTGAAAAGTTTGATGTCTCTTTTCATGAAATTGGAATAAAGTTGACGGGTCACCGGCTATCCAAGAGATTTGTTGACCTATGAAAATGAGTGCAAATGGGCTTAATATAGAGAAAACAGACATAAAACCTCTTTTATTGAATTTTCACAGCAAAAAGAAATGATAGAAGTTGCTCATTTTTTTCATAGTGAAAAGCTTGATGTCTTTATTTTATAAAATTGGAATAAAATTTGGGGTCACCGGCCATCCAAGTGATTTATTTACCTCTAAAAATAGTGCAAATAGGCTGAATATAAGGAAAACAGACATAAAACCTCTTTTATTGAATTTTCACAGCAAAAGAAATGACAGAAGTTGCTCGTTTTTCATACTTAAAAGTTTGATGTCTCTATTTAATGAAATTGGAATAAAATTTGGGGATCATCGGCCATCCAAGAGATTTTTTTACCTCTGAAAATGAGTGCAAAAAGGCTAAATATAGGGAAAATGGACATAAAACCTCTTTAATTGAATTTTCACGGCAAACAAAAAAAAAAAACATCAAACATTATGAATTCAAGAGCAATATCATACAGACTTTAACAATGAGCAAATAAAACATCGCATGATTAGATAAATGTTCCTTTCTGTGTTAGAATAAATTCAAAAAAGAAAACAGACTTCCTCACTAATGTTTAAACAATCAATGAAAAAGGAAAAAATAGGCAAACACCAACCAGTGATTTACATGCTCCCAACTTCACAAAAACGCAACAAGAATGTGGCGATGTTAATCATGTATGTGAGAGCCTACCTTTTAATTGTAGCCGGTATTTCGGTTTATCAGCAACATATAAGAAAAGAACTATAAACAGCAGAGAGAGGAATCGACTCATCAGATTGGAACATGTATGTGAATAGATTACCTTAGTTGTATTTGGCAAAACTTTTAGGAATTTTTGGTCCTCAATGCTCTTCAACTTCGTACTTTTTTTGGTTTTTTAACATTTTTTGATTCGAGCGTCACTGATGAGTCTTTTGTAGACGAAACGCGCGTCTGGCGTAAATAAAAAAATTCAATCCTGGTATCTATGATGAGTTTATTTACAACCACTGGGTAGATGCCACTGCTGGTGGAGTTTTAATTCCCCGAGGGTATCACTAGCCCAGCAGTCAGCACTTCTGTTTTGACTTGAGTTATCATTGATATGTTCATAATTATAAATTAACTGTTAACAAAACTATGAATTTTTGAAATACTAAGGCTTTTTTACCTCAGGAATAGATTACCTTAGCTGTATTTTGCAAAACTTTTAGAAATGTTTGGTCCTCAATGCTTTGCAACTTCGTACTTTATTTAGTTTTTTAACATTTTTTAATTCGAGCGTTACTGATGAGTCTTTTGTAGACGAAGCGCGCATCTGGCGTAAATAAAAAATTCCAACCCTAGTATCTATGATGAGTTTATTCATTCCAATGATAAACACGATTCCAAAGAGTGAATCCACGGTATAATGGGATATATACACAACGTATAATTGAGATTCTATAGACACAGCAAAATTTCCTACCACAATATGTTAATCTATTAAAATATTTAGTAATTGTTTTTAAACACTGTTTTTGTCACGATATTCTACACTGAACTTTATTAATAGTTATATACGATTCTCTTATTCTTACACGATTTATTCTTTCCCTGGCCTGTTGATTATTTTTATTTAGTCAACGTGTGGTTCGTTTGATCTCTGTGCTTCATTGGTCAAAATTCGATTATGACGTCAAATTTTCTTTCTTTCCTCTGAATTTCTTATTGTGACGTCATGATAAAAGGCGACCATGCTTGATGACGTCAAATAAAAAGAACACATCCTTTTGCAGATCATTCTAAAGGTAGGACTGAGTTCGTCTGCATATCGTTTAAAAGTTAAAAAAACAGATTCCACCACAAATTCTTCTAAAATACGATATTAACCCACTCTCCACAGTTGAATTTTAAATATTTAAAACGCTGGGCAAGCCTCGCGTTTTAAATTTAAAAATTCAACTGTCTCGAGTGGATAAATATCGTATCACACTCGATATAGTGGTAGAATCTATATATATACATGTATCAGTGCTTACATGATTTATTGGTGTTTTTTTAATTCCAGTAACCTCACAGACATATCTAAAAATGGAAGCATAATTGGTACACGTGTTGTAAAGTTCCATACAGTTAATAAAGATGCTTGCTTATTTTGTACAGGCGGTCAAAATTATATCACGTATATCAATAGTTGGGATGGTTCAAATAAGATTTATAATATTGCCACCATAGATACACCCACTGACATATGCTCCGACGACAACGGTCTCATCTACGTCAGTGGACAGGGATCGAATAACATACACAGATTGGTTTGGGAATCAAAAAAGACGAAGATAGGAGATACCAGGATACGTACATGGTATAAACAGGAACAGGATTATAAAGTATTAGACATACCATTGGATTCACATCATGGAATCAAGGAACCTGTCGCCTTGTGCTTCAACAAAGATTATAGTAAACTGTATATTGTCAATGAATGGGGGAAATCAGTTTTGGTTTTCGATGTTATCTGATCAAAATTAGTGTTTGTCAAATTGCTATAAATCCAATGAAATTATTACTGTTCATTGCGTGGTTCAAGTTTCTTTCTATATTTGTAAAGAGTTCAATGTAAATATTTTGTTAAATTTAAAAAAAAAATATTAAAGAGTCAAATAGTAGTATATTTAAGTCTAAGTGTTGGGTACCCTTTAGTTGGTTTATGTTAATTGTACTTATTGTTAATAATACTACAAACTACTCAGAGTCTGAAAAGACCATATTTTGTGCTCGACCAGAAAATCAAGCACATATTTTACTCGTCTAGTCTAGACATTATCTCGACAGTACTTAACTGTACTCGACTTTGGTCTCGACTTTACTTAATAAGCCTGATTCAGTACATGATGATCCGTGTGTAGTCTGAAATGGTCTCGACCAAGGCTCGACCAGTCTTGACCTGTCTCGACCTGTCTCAACCAATCTCGACCTGTCCCGACTAGTCTTAACCTTCAAATGTAGTCTTGACTGGTCTGAATCAGCCCATCTAACTAAATTAAATATAGATCTTACAAAATTCCAGGTTATTTGGTTGTTTGGTTCATTGCTGTGAAATTAAAGCATTTAATTAATAGGTTAAAACAAATTGTTTAAATTCAGATAGTCTTTTTTAATTATTTCTATAACTTTTTCAAATCAACTTGGATTTCCATAAAACTTTACAACTATCTCAATTATACATTGATCTTACAGAATGGCAGGTTGTTTGGTAGTTTGATTTATTGCTTTCAAATTTGAGGATTTTATTAATAGGTAAAAAAGGTAAAATTTTCAGTCGGACTGAATTCAGATAGTCAACTTTAAATTTGTTTATTACTTTTTTAAATTAACTTGGATTTTCATTAAACTATACAGCTATCTCAGTTTTAACTTGATCTTACTGAATCCTAGGTCGTTATGTAGTTTGGTGTATTACTGTCAAATTTAAAATTCTAAACAGAAAGTACCAAATCAAATGGCAAAATCAAAAGCTCAAACACATCAAACGAATGGACAACAACTGTCATATTCCTGACTTGGTACAGGCATTGTCATGTAGAAAATGTTGGATTAAACCTGGTTTTATAGTTAGCTAAACCTCTCATTTGTATGACAGTAGCATAACATTCCATTATATTGACAACGATGTGTGAACAAAACAAACAGACACAATAGGTAGAAATGTAAAAAATTGAGGTACAGCAGTCAACATTGTGTTATTATCTTAATCACTATAAAAACAAAACAAATATGTGACAAAACATTTACCATGACACAATAACACAATGGCTGGATGTATAAGTACAGAACCACGTCATATGTAACAAGGAAACACAAAAAGGAATATAGACAAAGCATATTTAATCTAGCAAAAACGAAACACAAAAATACAAAAATTATCATAGAGAAATAACAAAATGGCGGGATGTAAAGGTACAGAGCTACGTCATATGTAAAAACAGAAACACAAAAAGTCATATAGACAAAGCATATTAGCAAAAGCAAAAGACTAGAATGCAAAAACTATCATAGGACAATAACACTATGACGGAATGTATAAGTACAGAGCAACGTCAAATAGATACCACCAAACACAGACTAAACAGTAAAAGTAATATTAATAAAGACAAATAAAAGAATAATATAACACGTTATTAAGATGATAAACAACGACAGTATCCAGAATGTATACTTCAAGACCATCGTGTATTATTTGTGAAGTTGATACGGAATATTTATCAACAAGGTCTTGGTACCTTCCAATGAACTTTTTTAGAAAAAAGACAAGACGTTCTTTGCATACCCCTTGTTCATACGCTTTCTACTCAGACACTGGTGATGTTTTACAAAGTCTGGGTAGTTGCTGCATGCTCTTAAATACCGAATAAGTTGAGAAATGTATATCCCATAAGCAGGTGAAGTTGGTATATTACTACTCAAAAGGGGGGGGGGGGGGGATAATTGATCATTTCAAAATTAAGATCGTCTCGTTTGTCATAGATTCTGGTACTGAGATGACCGTGTATGTCAAATTCGAGGTATAAGTCTAACAATGAGGCGGAGGAAGCCATGTCTGTTGGTACTTTAATTTCTTGTTCTGGGGGATATGTTAATGGAACCAAATCAAAAAAAGTTTGGATTGTTAATGGAAAGAACATCATCAATTTAGATGAATGTGAAATTAAATGACCTGGTTTCATTTTTCTTCTTGTTTTTGACAAGTGTCTGAAGGAATTCCGATTCATTTGAAAATAAGAAGACGTCGGCAAGGAGAGAATCACAGTTCGTTCTCATAGGAAAGCCGACAATTTGTTGAAAACGTCTACCTCTAAATTCAACAAATATTTTGTCAATAAGAAGCTCCAGCATACTGATCACTTGTTCCATGATACATTGTTCCATTCATTGAACTATATCTAAAGTTATTACATAAACAGACTTACGAGTTGGGATTCATATACAACCTCAGATGCACAAAAAAGGATATCATTACAATTTCGAATAAGAACGAAAATTGTGCTTCTTTACATAATAAAAATATAAAAAAAAATCTGAACACCAAGGTTAATTAAAAAAGGTGAAGTTCATACAACATTTTGTTAAAACTGACGAAATTAAACGTTAAACATTATGAACTAGCTAATGGAACGAACAGAAAATCGCTGTCATATTCTTGATATTATAGTATACATTTTCATCTGTGAAATTGAAATATATGAATCTAGGAAAGGGCAGTTATTGCTGTTTATATGTAATAAAACGTTTTTGACGTTCTTATTAGATGTATTTGGATGTATTTTCCCCTTGGATATATTTCAGCTGTATATTTAGAGAAATCTTGATCATTTAGCAAAAATATATCTCCAAGCCATAACTGTTATTCAAGGCTGTCGATAAAGGGGTGCAATATCTGCTAATTTGAATACCTATAACAAAACAGACTATTAGTAACATAGTGTGCTCGTGACCTAATATGATATATATAGGGTCAGTGAATTCCATACGGGTGAGAACGAAGCTCGAATCCACATATGCAATTTACTGACCCCATATGTATTATAGTAGGTCACTAGCACACTATGTAACGAATTCATCTTACCGACTATCTTAACATGTGGCATTTAGACTAGTGATCAGGTCTTAAATATCGTTAGTATTACGAACCTACTTCCCGCATTGGTCTATATAAAAACAAATGCCAACAATAACAACGTGTTAGCTTTAAAAGTGTTTTTAGAATTTATGTCAATCTTACATCATTACTTTCTACGCAACATCGTGTTGTTTTTTATAAAGGGACGTTACATCACTGCTAACCGTGTTTTAAAAATAAGCCCGCCTATTAACCTAGCATGAAATATACACGGTGTCCACGCGGTTGCTTTTAACCAATCATATTCCTAGAAATGTATAGGAGGTAAGATTAAATGGTTTATCCGATCGGTTTCGTCGTATATTATACTATTAGTATTTACGTCTGAAGAACACCAAAGTTGTATCTATAAATTGTAATTCAAAACTGCAACACACAGGGCAAAAGAGTATTAATCACTTTATCTTTACAAATATGTACCTGACTGTACAAAATGATATGACATGACATTTAAAACTCATATTAGTGAAGCGACGACAAATCTACGGAATTATAGATTCTCTTTGTCAAGCACTTCATAACTTGCAATGACGTACATGTAGATTCTGCCCGTAAAACGATTAAAAATTTCAATAGCATATATCAAATACCACTTCATTATGGTTTAAAGAAAAACACATAGATTTTGATACATTTTCATAAAACCAGCGAATAAAGTACATGTAACAACCAATTATTTTGCGCAGTGTTTATCTATATGATTATAATATATTTTTTTTACCTTTGTATGCGTTTATAAATATGTGCCACTATTATGCATTTTTTTCAGCAATAATTTTACTATCCGAATCTATCTGAATAATCAATATATTTTAATCCATGAACTTTCTTATCAATACAGTTTACTAAAACATCACATGAATTTGTATTACCTTGATTTTAAGAACAAAAAATAGACCCTAGCGAAACATTTCTGTCAGTGCTTCCATTTACCAAAATTACCGTAAATATGTGTACAAACACGTCATTTCAGTCATCTCTATGACAAACGTATGATTCTACATATGACTTATGTGTGCAGAGTGTATGGATTATCGATAAACATAACGTAATATTTTCAACTTGTCACAAATTTAGCTTTCATTTAGCATATTTAGTAAGAAAACAGAAACATCCTACTGTAAATAAAACACAGACGTCGGCAAGTATAAAAAATCATACTGTTTTTCCAACTCTAATACATAAGCTGCATCCTGCCTGTTAGTTGAATTGCATAGATAGGTGAACCGAACAATAGGTAAAGGGGTTTTTCCGTTTACGATTTACTGACAGAAAGATGATTATTATGGCTTTTATTTATAGACATAGTTTTATCTTTATCATACAAAAGGCCTCGTTAAACATTGATAGTTACAGTTATCAAAGAAGTCACGATATCCGTAACACGACAAAAATGTATGTTAATATAACTTTAATTTAAAATCTATTGTTTCTCGTCTCTATATAAGTTTATGTCATTTACTGTAGAAAGTATCAGAAGTACTGAACGTAATTAGTATTATTTGGTATTGGATTAGTATTCATCTAAATATACATATATAAAGATTGTGGTCATAAACATGTCTTGGACTTTCAGGGATTTGAGAAAAAATGTATATGTTGTGTACAAAATGCAAGTTTGTATGTTGTACAGGTGTTGTATAACTTATAAGTTTTTTAGTACATACTTTTTACACCGGTTGATAAAAGTTTAACTTCTAACATTTACCAGCGTAAGATCTTAAATTCATATTGATTTTATATACCTCAACCTAACTTTTAGTGCTATTCTCCTGGTTCTAAAACTGAAAATAAGCACACCTGACTGGTTTAAATTCTTTTTTTTTTCTTTTCATACCAAAATCGTATACATAAATAGTCTTTTTGTATTCTTAAAATGTTTTAATAGCAATGCTCAGTATAATACTGTATCATGTAGTCATAAAAATATGACAGAAATATTCGAAACAAGATACTGTGTTCTTGTATCATTCATTTGTGTAAAGCAGTTGATGAAACAGTGATAACGTGTTCATAAATTCAGTGCAAATAAATATTTTTTCTTACAATTGAATAATGAAAATGAACAATAACTTATTGTACAAATTGTGTCACTAAATGTGGAGATGTTAAACGATTATGTTAAAGAATTTTTTTTCCGTTGCTTATGTAAACCATATTTCTGAAAACTAAAGCATATACTGAATATTAATAAGAGTGCAGCAACTAGCATGCTAGATTTTTCATTCTTCCTGAGAAGCTCCTATTGAAATATTTACTCATTT